AAAAAAAATCCAATTCTGATTGGTTCTCGCTCATGGAGGCCGAAACGAGTGCACCAAGATGGCGGTACCTCGAATGTGAACAAAAGTAATGAAAATATAACTAAATTGTGGTTTATCAAGAGTGAATTGTTATTTTAATCGCACCAAAATGAAAATATATTAAGAAATTATCCACTAATCAATCTAATTTTAAGGTTTTGATCAGTTTTTGTTGATGTTGTTGTTTTTGGATGACAGACATCGGAGGATTCCTTATCCTTATCCCTCAATATCGTTCGTTTGAGTGCACTCGTTTCGGCCTCCATGGCCAGCCAAGGCCGGCTGCCAGTCAGCTGATAATCGAGTTGTCTTAACTCTGGGTTATAAAGGGACTCTAGCTGAAAGCGAATTTTAGCAATCAACACAACTTGACGTAGAGACATGATTGGCTAAAAAATACAACGGTTTTTGATACATCGGAAAATCAACCAAAAATCGGAGACTGGGCGAAACGCTCAAGGTCGCAGAGGTATAGGGAATCCCATTGCGAAAGCAACGGAACGATTCTAATATCATGGGGAACTCCGTTCCCATGACAAAAATGTGTAGATTGCTCTTTCATTTGGAAGGGTTTTGATGGGCATTTCAATTACTCTTGTGGAATTTCACCCGGATGAATTTCCTCGAAAAATAAATTCTAAAAAAGTAGTTTTCCAGAACAATTTACTTGATGTAGGGTATGTTTTTAGTAAAAGTTTACATGGAGGGCCGGTAACACGCAATTGTTGTCGATGAATCCGAGAATGACCTCAATTCGTTTCCTCGGGGCACCAATTGTTCAAACATAAGATCCCCTCCTTCTTTTTCTTTAGAAAAAAAAATAGAGATCGATTTTCTAGAAAAAACCTCTTGCGCGGTCGTCTGCAGGGCCGTTGGAACCTTTGAATCTAACCCTTTTATGTTAGATAAAGGTCAGGTCTCTATTTATCACACCCATCGCCGTATTTTCTTTTCTTAAGGCGTTTTTTTTTTCTTCTTTTTTTTGTTTTTAAATATACAGTTGAACATAAATTCTAACTATTTGGATGAATTGATATACGACTATTTCTGACCCATCTAAAAAACCACTTATCTACATAGATCAGTAAATGACGCGGCGTATATGTTGTTTTCCAAACGAGTCACACATTGTGGCTTTCAATCGCACAATGAAGCTTACAACATCTTGATTTTAATGTTAATTCTACCTGTACGAGTGAGGTAAATCAAAAGGACAATCTTAGAAAAGCAGTTTCAGCGACAATTAGATTTCAAATGACTAAAAATTCGTGTTTCCCGTCCATAAATAGTCCACGTTACCACGTTTAACAAAATTAAACGAACGGAGGCCGAGATAGCACTTAAAGTTCGTCCGCGATCTTAAATTTTAGAACTCAGAAAATTAGACTTAGGACGAGTGATATCCAAAATCTAAGCTCAGATTCGGATTTCTCGTTAAAAATCTGTAATATTTCATGTATCATACGATAGTAAAGAGTTATGGAAAGAGGCCTAACCAAGGCATGCCGATTCTAACATATCAAGTCACAACTTGGCAACATGGGTGCTCACTGAGCGGATCAGCTGATCACCAAGAGTTTTCTCGGAAATTATTCGGGACGAAACCAAATGCTTAGCGCCGGCGCCATGCCAGGGCGAATACCGAGAAGCTGGCGGCATATAGATAAGAGGGTTGAATTCCTTCATGATAAATTCTTCTTCCTCCTCAGCTGACCTACTCAGAATAACCATGTTGCCAAGTTGGATTGATATGTTAGAAGCCTTTGCTTCATGCTATGCTAACGCATGATGCATGAAATTGCATAGATTTTTCACGAGGAGTCCAAATCTGAGCTTGGATTTTGGTTATTTTGCGTTTTAATTTATTTACAACTGCAAGATGAATTACAGAGTGTTCTTAATTTGTCAGGCACTAGCGATTATTATATTTTTTACTTTTTTTCGATTTTTATGAATTAAACAACGAATATGAAAAAGCTCAGTTCTTACATCCGCTAATCAAAACACGCATTTGAACCGCATTACAAGTAAGCACAGTCAAATTTTAGGTCTCTTCTTTGCCTTTTGTAATTAGGGACTGAGAGTTACGTATGTATTGTCTGTTTTTGTTTTTTGGATGAAGAATTTGGCTCCATATTTTTTAGGGTAAGCTGTCTTATTCCAGATAAAGATCACATGAGGAGCATTGTAATACTCAAAAAGTTTAATACGATGTACACATGGATAGAAGGCAATACAAGTTTTGTGTATCTAAGTATATTTAATTTATTTATTGATTATCAACTTTTTTTTTAATCGCTGCAATATGGAGACGGAGATTGGATTATTCCGCCCGACCCAAATTTGTGTTGTACGCAACCTTACTAATAATATTGAACAGCGTGTTTCAAGTTATTTGATCAGCAAAAAAAATTATGTAATTTTAACTACTTAAAACATTAGTACAACTCCAATGAGTTGAGGAGCCATTCCAATAAGTTGAAGTGTAGCCCGAAGAAGTCGGAGCACAACTCAAATTTGCTGCACGGCACCGATAAGTCTTTGTACAACACTAATTTGGGTTAGCTGAGTCGAAATGCGGAGATGTTGCATGTGTGAGGGATTTGCGATTTGACTGTTGATTCGAACGTAAAAGTTCGCGAGAAATACGATGGTGCCAATGGTTTTCTCTGAAATCAACTCCCAAGCTCAAAAAAGCTCTCAAGTTGAGGCCAAAATGGAGGGGATATCCCACGCTCTCCTGAGAGTCCACGTCTACATAAATACAAACTCTCCATGCAAAGCTAGGGAGCAAATACATCAGCAGGGTTGCCGTGTTTTCAGTTTTAGAGTTCCCAAGCCCAGCCCTGTCAATGTATTTTCTCCGTATCCTTGCAAACTCTGAGTTTGTCTTGATGTAGAGGTAGACTCTCAGGATAGCGTGAAATATCCCCTACATTTTGGCCTCAATTTGAGAGCCTTTTTTTGAGCTTGGGAGTTGATTTCAGAGAAAACCAGTGGAACCATCGTGTTTCTCGCGAACTTTTACATAAGAATTAATAGTCAAATCGCAAATTCCTCACACATGCAACATCTCCATTACCTCCCAAAACACATTGTGCAGTTAAAGTCATGGTAAATGATAATACTTTTGCAATGGATTTGATGTCACTGTTATTCTACACTGTTTTGATTTTCCAAAGTGTGATTTTCAAAAATCTGCTAGAGACAATTCTTCATCTTCAGAAGTCTTTGCTTTTATCCACCGTTCCAACATCCGTGATATCCTTGCTCGCGCGTTCTTGAGCGGTTGTGAATCAGTGTCTTGATCTGGCATCATGTCCGCACAGTGAGCAACTCCTGTAATGACCGTTACTATTCATTATTCGATGGCAAAAAGAAGAAGAAGGAAATGAACTCAAGTCTCCATGGTATAGAAATAGGTTAACCCAACGACTTGGAACTGAGTTTCATTTGGACATATTTCTATCAAACGGAACTATGTGCATTATAACGTGAGCCCTGTTTTGCACATAAGCCGACTGCACACACAACAAGTGGGGACCTGCAAGTGCCTGCAAGTGCCTGCAAGTAGCACATCGGTGCCGCTGTGTTGAGTGTTGATCGTGCAAACTGCGCGGCCCGCGCAGTTTGCGCACGCTCACCGATGTAACCGATGAGCCACTTGCAGTCACTTGCAGATCCCCACTTGCTGTGTGTGCAGTCGGCTATATTCTTATGGGTCCCAGGGCTCATGTGTTAATGAACATAGTTCCGTTTGGCAGAAATACGTCCATTTGCGAGTGAGTTGAGTCAGTTGCGCTAAAATCGTGTTTTGATGGCTTAAGCTTCACGGAAAAAACGAGTTTAGGGCTGGTACTTGCAACGAAGGTCCCAGCCCTAACCGGGTAGGTAAAATTGCTTCACCTCCACCGCCATAGGGGCAGGCCCGGCGCGCGTAGAGCCCAAATCTACCTACTTCAGGGTTCAGCCCTACCTGGTAAGAGCTGCACCCTGTCCAGGTAGGGCTGGGCCTTACCCCCGCAGGGCCTGCCCCTGTGGCGGTGGAGGTGAAGCAATTCTAGGGCCCAGCCCTAATCTCGTTTTTTCAGTGTTATAGATTAACAAAACAATAATATGATCTCCTCGAGCGCCAAGTTTCTACGTCCGATATTAATGGAGATATCACCCTAAAAAAATGACGTCATCAATGTATGACATCATCCACCATGATAGTGCATATAACGATTTTTAGCGGAATCGCATACTGTAAAATTGTATTATCAGCTGCTTTCCCTGAAGAATCTCCTCGTCTTCCGAAATTCATTTGAAAATGTATGTAAGTCCTCTAGAATTGCTCGTTGCATGGTTGAGAGATAAAAGGGAGGAAATCTGCCTAAAATCTAACAGTTTGTAACCTCCTTACTAAAGCATTCTCTAATTCAAATGAACCGGCAAGAATATTCGTCAAATTACTGCACACGAATGAATAAAAATACAAACGTTTGCAACGAACCTTTAATGGTGATAGCGACACTCCCTTTGGGAGCTTTTTTCATGATGCCAAGTGGAGACCATGGGTCATTCATTCCATGAACAAACGCCACTCTGGTCACAGGTAAGTTATACCCTCCGTAGTTCAAATTAGTCTCGTTCACAGACCTTTCGACGAAAGATGTGTCAAACCTGAAAGTAATTTTCAAAATAAAAGTTCTGAGCCTTTAAGAAAATCAGTCAATACTCGTATTCCATAAATAACTCTACATGTATGAATGTAACTCTATAAGTGTGACTTTGAGGGTATGAGGATATTTTCTAAATGCATATATTATGCGTAGAAGTATTATCACTAAATGCGAACGTGCAGAGATTAATAACTTTTAAGGAGTACTTTTTCTTGTGGCAAACCTCAATTTCTGCAAAAGTTTATAAAAAAAAACTTAATTTGAAGGGACATAGATAAAAAATGTATCTTAAAATAAAACTTCGATACACATCGATATGGAAGCTTATAATGAAACGATTCCTGATTGTGGTAACTTTTTCCAACTAATTAAATGCTTTTGACTTACTTGCTATTGAACGCGTCTGTGCAAATGCTGTCGCCAAAGTCAGCAGTTATTTTATCTCCAAATAAGTCATTCTTCCTGTTGGACGTAAAGAACCAACCGAACTCGGTGCAAGTTTGGTAGAACCATTGTCGAACTAAAAATGTGAATGAAAATTGATGGTATAAGAAAACATTCGCAATTGCAATATATCGATGGTATAACCGAAAAAATCCGTACTTCGATATGTGATGCTGCAGTAGCATGATTCCTGCATGTTTTAATTTATTTTTTAAATGAAAAAATACGTAACATAATTTCTTGAAAAGATCCCTGATTTCATTTTCTCTAATGAGGAATGTTCCGCAAAAACTCCAAGCAAGATTGTTGCTTTGCTCCACCAATAAAATAAAATTGTAGCGGCGATTTTGCATCACCGCAAACGAGATACGCGTTTTTGAAAAGTCACCGTCAATATCTGCGTCAAAACGGGCTGCAGGCTGATTACTGAAACTGATAGACAAAGTGATAGACATAGAAGACATATATAAGGAGTATGGAGCGTTCTTATTGGTTGAAGTGGGTGGTTCCTATATACTAAGGGAGAAAACGATGGACGAATTATAAAGCCTCTTGTTGGTGGCCGTTATTTTATCTATTACCGACCTTCTTTGTCCATTGTAACCACCCTTTTCCACCAATAGGATCCTTATTCTATATACCTTTTTTCTTCCCCTTGTCTATAGCTTTGCCTATCAATTTCAAAAATCGGCCCGCTTGCTTCTCCGGCGAATTTCCCTTGCTCGATATAATGTTGTATATCTGAACGGTAGTGGAATCCCGTGTTTATCATTCATTAACATATTTAAAGAGACAGCCTTATAGATACAGTTGTATTGACATTGCAAGTGGTTATCGATGTAAGGTGACATTTACAGAAGACTGATGCCTGTCACCGCAAAGAGGTAGGTCCCTAACCACCTCCGACTATGATGAGTGACAGAATTTTCTAAAAGGGAATATCATTATATCTCAGAAGCTTTGCGCACTGGAGAGCCAGTAAAAATTGGCGGGGATTTTGGAATTGCTTATACGGGGTGATCCAGACCACCCGTCCACTATCTCTATCCGGAGAACCACTGAAAATCGAGTTTTGAGGGTCAGGCCCGCCACAAAGGTGGGGACACTGGGTCCAAGGCCCGGGCCCCGGTACCATGGGCCCAGTATCCCCACTCTTGTGGCGGGCCTGGCCCTTAAAAATCGATTTTCAGTGGTTCTCCGGATAGAGACAGTGGACAGGGTGGTCTGGATCACTCAGTATATTGCCACCGCTAAAAGCAAAGAGAATCGTAATATTCCTCAAAAGTATTTCCGCGACGTGCTTGAAAATTCTCTGACTCAATGATGAAGGGTGAGAGATCAAGAGAGGCATATTAACGAAACCAGGTAAGGATACGCATAGTGCACGCTTAAAGAACTCACCTCCAAAAAGAACTCCCAAATTAGTATCCTTAAGAAAAGCCACCAAGTTCGCAAATTCATGGGCGAGGCATTGGCCCCCTCTGATGAGTTTGCTGAATTCGGCATATCGATGAACCTGGCAAGAATAGAACATTTCTATAGCTTTAATCGAAACTAATGTACAGGGTATGTTTAAGGTCACTGCAGGCACGTATTTTGTGGACCGTAATGAGCGTTATCACTACTTTATAGTTGTTTTTATTTTTTGGAAACAAGCGAAACAATGAGCTTACAGCCCCCTTCCCCTAGATTTTTGGGAAACTAATCTTTTTCACTGAATTTTGGTGGTGTGTAAGGAATAAAAGGAATAAAAAGTGGCTACTTCCATGCTATTTTGCCTTGAAATTATCAAAATGAACTATATGTTATCTAAATAATAAAAGGGAAATGAGGAAGTCAGCCTTGTGCAGGTCCGTGCGGCGGAAGGCTAGGTCCGTGCAAGTCCCCGTCACCTCCCGTGAGCCCGTGCAGAGGGAAGCGAAACAAAGGCATAATTTCGGGAATCCCATCCTTCGCAGATGGCTGCACGAGGTGACGGGGACTTGCACGGACCTAGCCTTCCGCCGCACGGACCTGCACAAGGCTGACTTCCTCATTTCCCTTTTATTATTTAGATAACATATAGTTCATTTTGATAATTTCAAGGCAAAATAGCATGGAAGTAGCCACTTTTTATTCCTTTTATTCCTTACACACCACCAAAATTCAGTGAAAAAGATTAGTTTCCCAAAAATCTAGGGGAAGGGGGCTGTAAGCTCATTGTTTCGCTTGTTTCCAAAAAATAAAAACAACTATAAAGTAGTGATAACGCTCATTACGGTCCACAAAATACGTGCCTGCAGTGACCTTAAACATACCCTGTACATTAGTTTCGATTAAAGCTATAGAAATGTTCTATTCTTGCCAGGTTCATCGATATGCCGAATTCAGCAAACTCATCAGAGGGGGCCAATGCCTCGCCCATGAATTTGCGAACTTGGTGGCTTTTCTTAAGGATACTAATTTGGGAGTTCTTTTTGGAGGTGAGTTCTTTAAGCGTGCACTATGCGTATCCTTACCTGGTTTCGTTAATATGCCTCTCTTGATCTCTCACCCTTCATCATTGAGTCAGAGAATTTTCAAGCACGTCGCGGAAATACTTTTGAGGAATATTACGATTCTCTTTGCTTTTAGCGGTGGCAATATACTGAGTGATCCAGACCACCCTGTCCACTGTCTCTATCCGGAGAACCACTGAAAATCGATTTTTAAGGGCCAGGCCCGCCACAAGAGTGGGGATACTGGGCCCATGGTACCGGGGCCCGGGCCTTGGACCCAGTGTCCCCACCTTTGTGGCGGGCCTGACCCTCAAAACTCGATTTTCAGTGGTTCTCCGGATAGAGATAGTAGACGGGTGGTCTGGATCACCCCGTATAAGCAATTCCAAAATCCCCGCCAATTTTTACTGGCTCTCCAGTGCGCAAAGCTTCTGAGATATAATGATATTCCCTTTTAGAAAATTCTGTCACTCATCATAGTCGGAGGTGGTTAGGGACCTACCTCTTTGCGGTGACAGGCATCAGTCTTCTGTAAATGTCACCTTACATCGATAACCACTTGCAATGTCAATACAACTGTATCTATAAGGCTGTCTCTTTAAATATGTTAATGAATGATAAACACGGGATTCCACTACCGTTCAGATATACAACATTATATCGAGCAAGGGAAATTCGCCGGAGAAGCAAGCGGGCCGATTTTTGAAATTGATAGGCAAAGCTATAGACAAGGGGAAGAAAAAAGGTATATAGAATAAGGATCCTATTGGTGGAAAAGGGTGGTTACAATGGACAAAGAAGGTCGGTAATAGATAAAATAACGGCCACCAACAAGAGGCTTTATAATTCGTCCATCGTTTTCTCCCTTAGTATATAGGAACCACCCACTTCAACCAATAAGAACGCTCCATACTCCTTATATATGTCTTCTATGTCTATCACTTTGTCTATCAGTTTCAGTAATCAGCCTGCAGCCCGTTTTGACGCAGATATTGACGGTGACTTTTCAAAAACGCGTATCTCGTTTGCGGTGATGCAAAATCGCCGCTACAATTTTATTTTATTGGTGGAGCAAAGCAACAATCTTGCTTGGAGTTTTTGCGGAACATTCCTCATTAGAGAAAATGAAATCAGGGATCTTTTCAAGAAATTATGTTACGTATTTTTTCATTTAAAAAATAAATTAAAACATGCAGGAATCATGCTACTGCAGCATCACATATCGAAGTACGGATTTTTTCGGTTATACCATCGATATATTGCAATTGCGAATGTTTTCTTATACCATCAATTTTCATTCACATTTTTAGTTCGACAATGGTTCTACCAAACTTGCACCGAGTTCGGTTGGTTCTTTACGTCCAACAGGAAGAATGACTTATTTGGAGATAAAATAACTGCTGACTTTGGCGACAGCATTTGCACAGACGCGTTCAATAGCAAGTAAGTCAAAAGCATTTAATTAGTTGGAAAAAGTTACCACAATCAGGAATCGTTTCATTATAAGCTTCCATATCGATGTGTATCGAAGTTTTATTTTAAGATACATTTTTTATCTATGTCCCTTCAAATTAAGTTTTTTTTTATAAACTTTTGCAGAAATTGAGGTTTGCCACAAGAAAAAGTACTCCTTAAAAGTTATTAATCTCTGCACGTTCGCATTTAGTGATAATACTTCTACGCATAATATATGCATTTAGAAAATATCCTCATACCCTCAAAGTCACACTTATAGAGTTACATTCATACATGTAGAGTTATTTATGGAATACGAGTATTGACTGATTTTCTTAAAGGCTCAGAACTTTTATTTTGAAAATTACTTTCAGGTTTGACACATCTTTCGTCGAAAGGTCTGTGAACGAGACTAATTTGAACTACGGAGGGTATAACTTACCTGTGACCAGAGTGGCGTTTGTTCATGGAATGAATGACCCATGGTCTCCACTTGGCATCATGAAAAAAGCTCCCAAAGGGAGTGTCGCTATCACCATTAAAGGTTCGTTGCAAACGTTTGTATTTTTATTCATTCGTGTGCAGTAATTTGACGAATATTCTTGCCGGTTCATTTGAATTAGAGAATGCTTTAGTAAGGAGGTTACAAACTGTTAGATTTTAGGCAGATTTCCTCCCTTTTATCTCTCAACCATGCAACGAGCAATTCTAGAGGACTTACATACATTTTCAAATGAATTTCGGAAGACGAGGAGATTCTTCAGGGAAAGCAGCTGATAATACAATTTTACAGTATGCGATTCCGCTAAAAATCGTTATATGCACTATCATGGTGGATGATGTCATACATTGATGACGTCATTTTTTTAGGGTGATATCTCCATTAATATCGGACGTAGAAACTTGGCGCTCGAGGAGATCATATTATTGTTTTGTTAATCTATAACACTGAAAAAACGAGATTAGGGCTGGGCCCTAGAATTGCTTCACCTCCACCGCCACAGGGGCAGGCCCTGCGGGGGTAAGGCCCAGCCCTACCTGGACAGGGTGCAGCTCTTACCAGGTAGGGCTGAACCCTGAAGTAGGTAGATTTGGGCTCTACGCGCGCCGGGCCTGCCCCTATGGCGGTGGAGGTGAAGCAATTTTACCTACCCGGTTAGGGCTGGGACCTTCGTTGCAAGTACCAGCCCTAAACTCGTTTTTTCCGTGAAGCTTAAGCCATCAAAACACGATTTTAGCGCAACTGACTCAACTCACTCGCAAATGGACGTATTTCTGCCAAACGGAACTATGTTCATTAACACATGAGCCCTGGGACCCATAAGAATATAGCCGACTGCACACACAGCAAGTGGGGATCTGCAAGTGACTGCAAGTGGCTCATCGGTTACATCGGTGAGCGTGCGCAAACTGCGCGGGCCGCGCAGTTTGCACGATCAACACTCAACACAGCGGCACCGATGTGCTACTTGCAGGCACTTGCAGGCACTTGCAGGTCCCCACTTGTTGTGTGTGCAGTCGGCTTATGTGCAAAACAGGGCTCACGTTATAATGCACATAGTTCCGTTTGATAGAAATATGTCCAAATGAAACTCAGTTCCAAGTCGTTGGGTTAACCTATTTCTATACCATGGAGACTTGAGTTCATTTCCTTCTTCTTCTTTTTGCCATCGAATAATGAATAGTAACGGTCATTACAGGAGTTGCTCACTGTGCGGACATGATGCCAGATCAAGACACTGATTCACAACCGCTCAAGAACGCGCGAGCAAGGATATCACGGATGTTGGAACGGTGGATAAAAGCAAAGACTTCTGAAGATGAAGAATTGTCTCTAGCAGATTTTTGAAAATCACACTTTGGAAAATCAAAACAGTGTAGAATAACAGTGACATCAAATCCATTGCAAAAGTATTATCATTTACCATGACTTTAACTGCACAATGTGTTTTGGGAGGTAATGGAGATGTTGCATGTGTGAGGAATTTGCGATTTGACTATTAATTCTTATGTAAAAGTTCGCGAGAAACACGATGGTTCCACTGGTTTTCTCTGAAATCAACTCCCAAGCTCAAAAAAAGGCTCTCAAATTGAGGCCAAAATGTAGGGGATATTTCACGCTATCCTGAGAGTCTACCTCTACATCAAGACAAACTCAGAGTTTGCAAGGATACGGAGAAAATACATTGACAGGGCTGGGCTTGGGAACTCTAAAACTGAAAACACGGCAACCCTGCTGATGTATTTGCTCCCTAGCTTTGCATGGAGAGTTTGTATTTATGTAGACGTGGACTCTCAGGAGAGCGTGGGATATCCCCTCCATTTTGGCCTCAACTTGAGAGCTTTTTTGAGCTTGGGAGTTGATTTCAGAGAAAACCATTGGCACCATCGTATTTCTCGCGAACTTTTACGTTCGAATCAACAGTCAAATCGCAAATCCCTCACACATGCAACATCTCCGCATTTCGACTCAGCTAACCCAAATTAGTGTTGTACAAAGACTTATCGGTGCCGTGCAGCAAATTTGAGTTGTGCTCCGACTTCTTCGGGCTACACTTCAACTTATTGGAATGGCTCCTCAACTCATTGGAGTTGTACTAATGTTTTAAGTAGTTAAAATTACATAATTTTTTTTGCTGATCAAATAACTTGAAACACGCTGTTCAATATTATTAGTAAGGTTGCGTACAACACAAATTTGGGTCGGGCGGAATAATCCAATCTCCGTCTCCATATTGCAGCGATTAAAAAAAAAGTTGATAATCAATAAATAAATTAAATATACTTAGATACACAAAACTTGTATTGCCTTCTATCCATGTGTACATCGTATTAAACTTTTTGAGTATTACAATGCTCCTCATGTGATCTTTATCTGGAATAAGACAGCTTACCCTAAAAAATATGGAGCCAAATTCTTCATCCAAAAAACAAAAACAGACAATACATACGTAACTCTCAGTCCCTAATTACAAAAGGCAAAGAAGAGACCTAAAATTTGACTGTGCTTACTTGTAATGCGGTTCAAATGCGTGTTTTGATTAGCGGATGTAAGAACTGAGCTTTTTCATATTCGTTGTTTAATTCATAAAAATCGAAAAAAAGTAAAAAATATAATAATCGCTAGTGCCTGACAAATTAAGAACACTCTGTAATTCATCTTGCAGTTGTAAATAAATTAAAACGCAAAATAACCAAAATCCAAGCTCAGATTTGGACTCCTCGTGAAAAATCTATGCAATTTCATGCATCATGCGTTAGCATAGCATGAAGCAAAGGCTTCTAACATATCAATCCAACTTGGCAACATGGTTATTCTGAGTAGGTCAGCTGAGGAGGAAGAAGAATTTATCATGAAGGAATTCAACCCTCTTATCTATATGCCGCCAGCTTCTCGGTATTCGCCCTGGCATGGCGCCGGCGCTAAGCATTTGGTTTCGTCCCGAATAATTTCCGAGAAAACTCTTGGTGATCAGCTGATCCGCTCAGTGAGCACCCATGTTGCCAAGTTGTGACTTGATATGTTAGAATCGGCATGCCTTGGTTAGGCCTCTTTCCATAACTCTTTACTATCGTATGATACATGAAATATTACAGATTTTTAACGAGAAATCCGAATCTGAGCTTAGATTTTGGATATCACTCGTCCTAAGTCTAATTTTCTGAGTTCTAAAATTTAAGATCGCGGACGAACTTTAAGTGCTATCTCGGCCTCCGTTCGTTTAATTTTGTTAAACGTGGTAACGTGGACTATTTATGGACGGGAAACACGAATTTTTAGTCATTTGAAATCTAATTGTCGCTGAAACTGCTTTTCTAAGATTGTCCTTTTGATTTACCTCACTCGTACAGGTAGAATTAACATTAAAATCAAGATGTTGTAAGCTTCATTGTGCGATTGAAAGCCACAATGTGTGACTCGTTTGGAAAACAACATATACGCCGCGTCATTTACTGATCTATGTAGATAAGTGGTTTTTTAGATGGGTCAGAAATAGTCGTATATCAATTCATCCAAATAGTTAGAATTTATGTTCAACTGTATATTTAAAAACAAAAAAAAGAAGAAAAAAAAA